AACTCTGTACGTAGCAACTTCTACACCAGGGGGAAAGCTACCTCAGTGATGCCGCAAAACAACATGTGTGCAATTTTATTATTTCTGTTTAGTTTGTGGGCTTCGGAAGAAAACGCAGCTTACAGGACTACCACCTAAGCAATGATTGTAGTCTTACTTACTCCATTGTCCTCAATCGCTAGTATTATCATACTTGGTAGATGTACCCACTGCACATCTGGCTTGTTTCATCGTGGAGAAAGACCCTTCCTTCTGCTTTCATGTTTCTTCAACCATTGGTGTGCTGGACATGTTGCCATCGCACCAATAGTCATCTTTGTTCCTTTGTCTTCCTTTGAAAAGAGCAGAGTTGTAATCAGTGTTCTTTGTTGTTTGTGTTACCTAATTTGTGTCCTCTGTTTGACAGGTGTCAGGGTTGCATTACGTGATTATTTTTTATGCTTTCAAGTGTGTGTAAGATTTTGTCTAGTAGATTCTGCCCCAAAAATATGCAGCTCACAGATAATCCGTTTCTCCTTTATGTGTCAAGGAGCCTACGCTTTAGCTCCTAGCAGGATTTTGCGTGTTAAGTACTATCTGTCGTCTAGACATTTTAGTAGGTCGGTTGTCTTTCCAGTTATATCTCGTTCAACTGAAGCAGGTCACCAGCATGACAAGATATCTTCTCTTCAGAGATCATTAAGCAGTAAAGCAAGCCTCCTTAAAAGGAGATGGGGCACACTATGTGCACCCCATTGTAAAACACTTTTATGTTTGGAATAAGTGCAGTTGCCTTTGAGGGGCTTTGACTGATCTCTTCTTGGCAGCCTACCTCATTGAAGGGGGTTACATTGCCTCCGAAAAGAGCCGTGAATAATGTGGACACTTATTTTGTTCCTATAAATTTTATCATATAGTTTCAAGTAAAGCTGCCCCGAGTGAAAGCAGACAGTTTATTTCACCAAACAATTATCTTCACCTGTCGGTTCAACCATTACTTAAAACCAAGTCACGGAGGTGAATTGTCGCCTGGCAGACTAAAATTGCGATCAGAGTGCCTGCAACCTGGTGGAGGCTTGCTGCAGAGTAGGCACTGTAACTAAAAGTTGTATTGCACATTAAAAGATTCCCAGCGACTCTGAATTGTCCCCTTACCCTCCCCCCCAAGCTTCATTTTAAAAATCGTCATGTTTCTTTCAACTGTATAATGTCATCGCATCATCACTAGGCTTGGCTCCGCAGGCCTTCTTGGTATAGTCCGTTAGCCTTTCTGGAGCACCGTGGCTTCCCTGAGACAAAAAATAATAATATTGCTATTATGATTCCCAAATCCTTTGCTGAAACAAGCCTAATACTATAGGCCGTTGCAACCTAAAAACGAAGGGCGAGGGTAAGACGGGCCGGGGAGGAGGAACCAGACGGAACGCTAAAGAGAGAAGGAGGTTTCCACCTTTCTTCTCCAGCGTTCCGTCTGGTTCCTCCTCCCCGGCCTGTCTTACCCTCGCCCTTCGTTCTTAGGTTGCAACAAACTATAGTTATTATTTTTTTTTTTTTACATATTACCTCTAGGAGTTATGTTTTTGTTTTCTTGATTTTTTGCCATGGCTCAATGCTGGTGTATCGTTCTTTCTCAAAGGCTTCCTTGGCTAATCTTACTCAAGTACTTTGAAGTTGCGAGTCTTTTCCTGAAGATTATGTGTACTAAGATTTCTTTGTGTGTGTGTACTTTATCTATCGTGCATACAGTTATATGAGAGTTTATGCAAGAAATATGTCTTGACAAGAGGATTTTAATTGTAAAGGCGGTAGTAGTCACATTTTGTCAAATCTTCTGGGAGCTCAGTACTGGTTGCACTGTGCCTGACATATTTCCAAGCCCCAAAAGAAATGAAGGCTGTAAAGTATGCAGTCTTGTGGAACCCTGCATTGCATTTATTTCAGGCTTTACATGTCCCACACGTTAATAATATTCTGTTTTCTTCCAGATGAAAACGAGTCTGTCTTTGCAACACATGTGCCTCAACACAAGTGCCACAACAGTTTTCATTGCGTCGGAATCAAACATTTGGCCACACTTCTTTTCCTGCCAGCTCCTTATACTTTAGAACAGCTGTGGCTAGGTCTCACGGTGTGCTGTGCAGAACTGAGAAAGTAATACAAGGTGGTCCACTATGTCCACATCAAACGTAAAATATCTAGAGCTTGAATTTGGTCAAGCCCTTCTAGGTCACAAGTTAGCGTGTCATCTGGGTCAAGCAAAGGTTTTGGTTTTGGTGCTAGAACTATTTTCACAATAGAGTGCCCATTTGCGAGCGGCCACAGTTCAAAACAATCTGGCCACTGGCCACTGTGTGTGGGAGAACGCTTTGTCGCTGCATCACCGTGTCGGCTGCGAGCATGCCTTGCTGAGGCGTGCCCACGGTTGATCAGTGATCTACACACATCGGTTGCAAGACGGTGGCTCCCAGAGGCCATGCTTGCCAACATGTGTAAACTCGGCATCCATACTCGTTCTCGCCTCAAGAATTGTGGTAAAGGAAGTCCGGCTCCTTCTGGAGCATTAATAATTTTTCCCCTTTGTGGGGGAAATTAAGATGTATGTAGGTGCATTCTAGATTAGATATATGTTACCTTATCGAGGCGTACACGTTTACAGTGCCAAAGCATCACTTGTTCCTCCGACAACCAAGTCTTGTAAGAGCTACTTTGCGCAGCGTATGAGGTATGCAGGTGAGAATGAGTATAGTGCGACCCTGTTGTGGTAGAAAGTTTGTTCTGGTGGAGCTTAAAGTAACATTCTGTCTGAGCTCACGGTTTTTGTGATGCACTGAGATTACATTGCAGGGTGCTTAGGCTGGAATTACTTTAGAGTTCTTTTTCTGTTTAGTGTTCCAGCATTTTGTTTTGAAGTTATGGGATCAGAATATTTCTCACTTATCTTTAAAGCATGAAGAAGATAATGTGTTAGCTTTAAAATTTGAGGAAAAAGCACACACTAAGTAGTGTCTTTTTTATTATTTGCAAGATTTTATGCTAAGTTATAGTGCCTACCCTATTGCTGTCCTCAGATTTTATTAAAGGCCGACCTACGAAATAATTTTCCGCAATGTCCTCACCACCCTTTCCTGTCCCCCTCCCACTGTTATATTGAAGGGGGGGGGGGCTCCTTTTGTTGCTGCATCTTGGGGCTGGGTAAGCCGGGAGCTTATCCAGGCTCTTCCAGCCCCAACAAAAGCAGTCCCCCTCCGTCAAATAGCAGTGGGAGAGGGGGAAATGGGAGGGGTGTCAAGGAGGATTTTCCTACCTTGCGGAAAAAAACTTTTTGTAGGTCGGGCTTTAGCTAGAAATTGTGAAAATTGAAGCAACTGTTATGTCATGCACTGCCCCATGTATCGTTCTGTTGTCACATCAGCTTCAGACTCTGCAGGTTAGCTGACAGACTTCTTGAGGTACCTTTTTGCACGTACATGTCTACAATCAGTTATTTCTCGCCTACGCAGAAGTGCAGCTTTCACGCTTTTACGAAAGCTGTGAGGAAAACATCGCAGATTTCTAGGCTCTTGCCGCCACATCGGTCTAGATTCAGTAAAACTTTCCAAAATGTATTGTTCAAACCTGTAGATTATGCGCCATTCAATAGAGCAGTGGTTCTCAAGCACTGATGTTTCAAGGACTCTTTCTGGATCTACATAAGGGATGGGAGACCCCCCGTCCACCGGGAGGGAGGGGAGGAGGGTATCGAATGATTGTAATGATAAAAGGGTAAATGAGCGAAGCAGTGCATGCAAGCCAACTTTGAAGCTCAGAAACAGAGAATAATCAACCCCACTCGCTCGGTGCACATGGTTTGGTCTATTTCAACGGTACACCCAGCATGAATTTTTAGGAAAATGCTTTAGTGCTCGGCTAGACCGAGTCTGATACCAAAGGTTCCGCAGACCCCCATTTGAGAACCACTGCAATAGGGTGTTTTATTTATAGGAGAAGCTCGCTGATGTTGGCCCTATGTCCATTGGTTTGTTTTAGAGGCATGTTAATGAGATGCAGTAATCGGTTATTGCTGGTCCAGATTTCTCATAATGCATCCTCATACCTATTAAATATAGACCATCCTGTTTATTGTTTATTTAGAATAAAAGCACTAAAGTGGTTAGACGTGTGTAAATGACTACGGTAAAGCCATTATTTGCTCCAGGTGTAAAGTGTCCTTGTTTCTAGCTGTGTGGCGCAACCAAGAAAACTAGCTCGTCAGATTCAGGTATATGATCAAACTCTCTTGAATGCATCCTGCCATAGTTGCAGCCTAATGGGGCATGGCTTATTACCTTCCAGTTTCTTGCTTCGTTCCCTTGCGTCCTGTTTTTCTCTTGCTTTGGCTTTGTATGTGCTCGTGAAACCTTGAGCGTCCTAAGCATTGACCCAGCAGCTTTACTTTGTCCCATAGTGTATCCCTTGTAACATTGAGAATCAAAGATGTTTTTATCGTTTGGAAGAAATGCCACTGATGTTAATGGTAGTAAATTTCGCTGCATATTAGCATAATTATGGTTTAGCAGAGTCTTTCGAAAATTTGTACCAATAATCTGGTTGAGAAAGAAAAAGAGAAGCATTTCTTGGGAACAAACAGCCGGCTGTGGCGGACGTCGAGGATTGCAAAAGGCAGACAGACACGGGGCTCACGATGCGAGAAAAGTAGATTATAAAAGTATTGTCGACATTTTTGCACCACCAGCCGTGAGCGTGCTACACAAGTGGAAATTTTATCATACCTCCGCGCTTCACACATGCTGATTAGGGGTTTTCGATCACGCTCCGGTAGTTTCTAATCTGAACCGTTTGTTTATTTTCACTAATTCAAAGTTGATTAGTGCATTTTAGTTAATTATATAGCTAATCAGTATGTTTTTGCCATCCCCACCTGGGCTGGCAGCTTGTTCCCGACGAGAGATTTTTTTCTTCTCAACTACCTTATTGGAGTTTTTGAAAAATTTATTAGCTAAAACAGCTGATATATTGTTATCTTAAGGTGGCTTATTTTTTGCAGATGCAGTTTTGAGAGCGTGTGCAGGCAGACTAGGCTCGTCCTAATAGCTGAAAGGGTAACGTTCCTTCAAACCTCGGGCATTGCAGACGCCGAGCCGCCGACGCCCACCGTCGGCCATCCCAAGCCCGTGAAGGGCCACCTCTACACGTGCGACAAGTGCAGTCACGTGACCGACCGGAGGCAGAACATGGTCATCCACCAGCGGACGCACACGGGCCAAGAGCCCCTGCAGTGCCCGCTCTGCCCCATGACCTTCTCCCACAAGCACATCTTGATGCGCCACATCCGAGGCCACACCGTGGACAGGCCCTTCCGGTGCCGCGCGTGTCCGGCTACCTTCGAGAAGAGCGACTACCTGGTGATCCACATGCGCACCCACTCGGGAGGGCGCCCCTACGAGTGCCACGTCTGCTTCATGAGCTTCTCCCAGAAGACGGACCTGGTCGCGCACGTGCGGGGACACTCCAGGGACGCTCCGTACTGGTGCACTTTCTGCTCCCAGCCGTTCACCACGGGGTCTCTGCTAACGAGGCACGTGATGATGAGTCATCCCGTCTAGTCCGGCCGAGCTTCTTGTCTGGATCGAAATTGACTTTAGGGGCCGTATTCCGTTTGACTCGGAGTCCTACCGCAACAGACGCCACGATCCAATGGAACTGATCGAGTGGTTTCAAAAGTGCGTCGTCGTGGTGCCCGTCATCTTTGTGCTTTTCCTGTCCCCGGCCAGAATGATCACGCGCAGCAGATGTCCCGTGAGCCTATACCTTTTTTTTCTGTGCCCGATGGGTTTCACCTTGACGATGCACTTCTGGCATTGTTCGAGTGGCTCCGTGGTACCGTAGCGTCGGCGGTGGTCAAAACTTGGATTTGAAACAAAGTATAGTCGGTTACGCGTATAAACACGGCTCAAGAAGGGCGAAGGCCGGTAGAAGCGGAAAACAAGTGCCGTATTGAAATAAACGCTGTGCAAAAGTGGATGGACTGCAGTCACCGACAGAATGAGAAAGACAAACTGCGAGTACAGTCAAACCCGTTTACAACGAACAGCAGGAAACGCTACGATCAGTTTGATATAGCAGGTAGTTCGATATAGCAAAAACCATTTACAACGAACTTTCACGATGCGTTCGTTCTAAGGCGAGTGCTTCTATTTCTCATCTCTTCGCTTCCACCTTGTAACAAAGTGCTAAAAAGTTTTTTTTTGTTTTTTTTTTTATTTTTGCATGCGTGCAGTGTTTGTTCTTTTAGCTTATCTCATCTTCTGAATCGCTTCTCTTCCTGGGCAACCACTTTGGGATGATGTCTTTTTTTTTTTGGTGCATGGGTCTTGTGCTTTTTTAGCTACTTCCCTTCTGAATCGCTTCTCTTTGTCAATTTTTTTCGCGGCTCGAGCTTTTCATATTTTTTTCTTTCCTACTTTTTTTTTTCTTTTTTTTTGGGGGGGGGGGGGGGGGAAGGTTAGAAGACGATTGTTTGCGCGTTTTTGGAAGCCTTCCTGGGGGAAAACGGTTCAATATAGCCAATATGTTGTTTGTTATAACAAGTACTTTTTACATGCATTTTAATTTAAATATTCCGTGAGTTTGATATCGACAATAATTCGCTGTACGTGGGTTCGTTCTAAACGGGTCTCAGTGTAGTTGCTTCCGATTCATAACGGGGATATACGCTCCAAAATACGAGGACGAGAAGATGAGTGGCACACGGGACAGGGACGCACTCTCCTATGCGCCACTCATCATCTTGTCCTCCTTTTTTTTTTTGCATATCTTTTTATTTTGAGAATGCCCGGGCTTTGGCACGAGCTCCACACCTCCCACCATGTTTTGGCTATACGCATGCACTTGAGGTGCCCAAGGCGCCGAGGTGTCGAGGAAGGCGGGGAAGCTCACGCCGGAGGCGGGACAACTGACGCTTTGCTTTGATTAGAGTGCAATTAAATGCAAAGGTGCAAGCGAGCTGGACGAGAATGACGAAAATAAACCCTGGAGAAGGGGAACAAGAGGGACAAAGGACTAGCACAAATCTGCAAACACAACTAGGTGACTGGTGCGCGACCAAAAAAATCTGCCTGGTCTGGTTATCGAACCCGGTACCTCTCCATTTCCAGTGGAGCGCTCTACCAACTGAGCTAACCAGGGATTAGACGTCAGTAGAGCAAACAGGTTTTACGTAAGCCTTTCACCCTTGTTGGTGTTAGACTGGTTGCAGCTGATAAAGCCTGTTTGCTCTCTTGACGTCTAACGTCCTTGGTTAGCACAGTTGGTAGAGCACTCCACTGGAAATGGAGAGGTCCCGGGTTCGATACTCAGATTATGCGGACCTTTTTGGTCTCGCACCATTCACCTAGCTGTGTTTGGGAATTCGTGTTTGTCCTTTGTCCCTCTTGTTCCCTTTCTCCGGGGCTTATTTTCATCATTCGTGATGCTCTACCCTGTTTTTCTCACCTTGTAAGTGCTTTCGCTGCCTTCTAGTCTTTGTACTTTTGCACTGTGTTTCTTTAAAGGGGTACGGAAACAAAATTTTTGCTCTTATTTCTATGTTTAGATATGGAATATGTGGTGGTGCCAGCCCAGAAACACTAGATCTAGACTATTGTTTCTGTGCTGCCAGCAGAAAAGTCAAGAAAACTAATATTAAAACGAAGGAACAGATTTCAAGATTGCCCTGTTGGCAGTCCGTGAAGCTCCGTTAGAATGCCACCACATTGTCAGCGTCTAAGAAGGAGCGCCAGTTCGCAGCAGCATAGCTCGCTCGTGGAGTTACTTAGTCCTGAATGTGACTTGGTACAGATTGCTAACGAATCTAATACGTTGTATATGTCAACTTCAACAGTGCTTCGGCAACGAGTATTCCACACCATCAAGATAGCGAAAATAATCCCTGGAGAAGGGGGACAAAGGACAAACTCAAATCTCCAAACACAGCTAGGTGACTGGTGCTCTACCAAAAAAATCCGCCAGGTCCCTGGTTCGATACCATGACCAGGCGGATTTTTTCGGTCGTGGTCCAGTCACCTAGCTGTGTTTGGGGATTTGTGTTTCTCCTTTGTGCCCCTTGTTCCCCCTCTCAAGGGATTATCTCCGTCATTCTTGTTCAGCTTGCTTGCACCTTTGCATTAACTGCATTGTCATCATAACCATCAAGATCTCACTTCTTTGCAGACGTTAAGTAGGAGAGTGATCTCATGATACGAGGACCTCTGCAAGGCCAACCATACCACTCTCTCCCCCCCCCCCCCTCCTTCCCCTTGGGATGCGCTGTGAACGTGCTCAAATATGGCACCCAGCGAAAACCTTATATACAGGGTGTCCCCGAAAAAAAAAAATGTTTTACAGGGTTTTTATTACTGCGAAAATAAACAATGCATCACCTAATGTTCATTTTGTGCCCAGAGGTAGCGCTAGAGGTCCGAACTAGATGCCAAAGTTTCAGCAGAAACCATTATTTTATTCCAAAGTTATAAGTGATTTTTTTAACATTTCAGTGGGAAAATGGGGCTCATTTTTGCCCGTTTTCGGTTTCTGGCGCCATAGAGCTTTCATGTATTCGAGAGCTCCGTCGGCCACCCATTGAAATTTTCAGAAAATCGCTTTTAACTTTTGAGTAAACTATTGGTTCGTGCTGAAACTTTGGCATCTAGTTCGGACCTTTGGCGCTATCTTTGTGCAGAGAATGAACAATCGGTGATGCATTGTTTATTTTTGTGGTGGAAGAAACCCTGCAGGTAGCTTGCAGGTGTTGCCATTGCAGTGTACTGACTGTTCTTTCTATGTTACTGATTCCGTCGAGTTGCAATGTGAAGCTAACACTGTGAACCGAACGCTAGTGACAGATAAAATGCCGGCATTTCCGCAAATGACGTTACGGGCATGCTATATATAGGACGTAGGGCGCACAGTCCTGAGATATTACTACTAGGCGAGATTGTCACGCGTTGACGCCGATGGCAACGCTTGCAACGTCAGCACCCTTGGCCATGCAGGAGCCATTGACGTCACGAGCGCGATACGCATTGCGCTTCTTGCTGACCGATTTCGAAGGAAGAGGTAGAGACCACACGTCGACGTCATTTAGTTTCCGTACCCCTCCAAGTCCTTGCCTGGGAAGTAGTTCCGTGGTGTTTCCTTGGTCACAAGCCGTGCTGCCATGTGAATGTTATTAGTCGGGGGTTAGTTGCAAAAGGTGCATGCCTCTTCATGGAATTAAAAGTTGGCATTGCTGAAAATCTCAACTAATTTTTTTTTTTTTTAACGTGGTAACGTAAACTTGAGATTTTAGTGCTCTAAGTCGTCGTGCACGTAAATGCCTCTTATGTAGTTGTGCCTTTATATTGAGCTGTATATTGATCCTTCTGGTGAATAGGCAAGCATGAACTGTGCTTCCAACTTTTTATTGTGACATTGAATTTGAGCTTCGCCTAAAGGAGCTCAATGGGTGATATTCACTGGACGCCATATTTGAGGTGACTGCTCACAGCGCATGCTCGGGATGGGTTCTTATTTACGGTCTCCCAAAGAAGACAATCTTGGTGGTGTGCAATGTGCGTGCTGGAAGCGTTGTGGAAGCCTCCGTAATTGTAGTTCACAGGAGGTAGGCGGCAGTGTACGGGGCAGCTCGTGCCATGTTGTGCTCTGCTCGCGCACACCCGCAGCGGAGTTGTGGCGCGAGCGGAAAGACTACCTTTTCCTTTTCGAGGATGCATGCCGGCAGCGGTGGTATAACGAGACTGTCTGGTGAGATCGGTCTATAGTTGAAGTGTACCTTTCTGGAGAACCTATACTTCTGCTCATACTTCTGCTTTTGCACCCAGGGGCACAAAATATGTCTAATCATTTGAGTTTCCTGGGAAACGTATACTAGGCACCTCTATCCAGCCCCTTAATCTGAGACTACAACCAAAGCTACAAGCGAGATCTAGCCCGCGCTTTCGGCTTTGACGCTTGTTCTGCAGAAGAACGTTTCAAAGCCCTGTGCTCTCGCGCTTGTGGCTTTGGCTGCACTCTCAGCTTAAAGGGTGAAGGGAGTATTATAAAAGTTGGGGTGTTTTCACATGACGTCAATCCGCCATTTTGTTGTTCGTTTGTTTTTTCAAACAAATTTGCTAATTTGAAGGATTACATTGCAACCTGTTGGGGAGATAATAGCGTGGTAAGACTTTTAAGCTTCTGTGCTCCATGCATTTGAGGGGTCATGTAAATCCTTGGAGTGCTTGCCTTCGGCCCACGCCAGACAGCTCACAACAATAAAATGGAGGACAAAATTACGTCAGCGAAAACAGACTTGTAGCCTTGTTCTTTTTGCTAAGAATCAATACGGTTTGGGGCAAATCTGGCCATGTAATCTCCAAGCACGTTTATATTTCTGAAAGTGTATATGTATAGTTTTTTTTTTTTTTTTTTTTTTGCACAGTGATTGAGCTCATAAAAGCAGATGCTCTCCGTGTGGCATGGAAGACCCAGCAAAGTGGTGGAGTCTCAATAAATAGATGTAATTACCCAATTGTAGCTGCTTCCATGACTTTCTTTTCTAGTCCAATTACAATTTGATTAAATGCTAATGACTATCTCTGAAGGAGGTGACCATGATTTTGGGAAACAAACGCTGTCCGCATTGTGTGTCATATTTGACAAAATGGTGAAGTTCCAATGAATAACTG